TGGGATGATGGGTGATGGTGGGAAACAGGCTGTCTTTCTGTCAGTCTCCGCTGTGCATACGTCCTTCAAGCCCACAGAGAAGGTAGCTGGGCTCACCCATATCTGTAAAGTAGGTGGTTGGAAAGAGCCCATCCCTCCCCCTTCTGGATATCTCATCTCTCCAAGCAAAAATATACATATTGGCTTCTAAAGAAGTTGAGCCAGTTCTTGACTCCAAGGTTTAGATGGCAGGTTGAACGGTGGCCTTATGACCCTAGTCTAGCTGCCCATTTCCCTTGTATTGTACAGAGGAATGAGGCCCTCCATCCTCAGTCTTTGAGGTGACATTTACGGATGCCCTAGGCTCCTGGAGGGTGTGTGATAGAAAGATGGCGACCTCTCCCACGCCCCACCTGTCTGTCATTCCTTCCTTCCACTAGAGATCACATTCTAATGCCCTTCTTTGCAAAACTAAGTGCCTAGTGTCTGCGGGGGTCCAAGGCAGTTCTTCCCTGCCTGTTGACTGTAGGTCCCCCGGGTGAACAGAAGCGGGACCTAGGCTCTGCTGTGACCCATGTTGGGGAGGGAACGCATGGAGGGGGCATGGGCCACAGAGCTGTGTTCCCAGAACCGTGCTCTCTTGAAGTCAACTACGTCTTGATCTAGGATGATTCCTTTCCCTCAGTACTCTCCCCTTCCATACACCCAGAACCTGGTCTTCATGAGAGGTTTATGTATCCATGTATTTGCACAGCAGTGATCTTCTTTCTTGTGAACAAATAAGCTGTCTATACCAAGGTGGTCCTTCTCTCCTTCCCAGGCTGGGCTGGTTTTGCTGAACTTCCCTCCTCTGGCCCACTAAGAGCATAAGGCTCAAATATCACCTTAAAAAAAATTATTTTAGAGAGAAAGAGATGGCACAAGCAGGGGAGATGGGAAGAGGGAGGGAAAAAGAGAATCTTAAGCAGGCTTCATGTGCAGTGCGGAGCCCGATGCGGGGCTCGATCCCATGACCCTGGGATCATGACCTGAGCCTAAACCAAGAGTTGGATGCTTAACCAACTGAGCCACACAGGCACCCCTCAAATTGCACCTGCCTTAAGCCCTCAGTTTCTCCACTGAGACTATGTAAGAGACACTTTTAATGGTGTAAGAAAAAGAAAGCTAAAATGACCTGCTGGTGCATTCTGGGTATTTAAAGAGCCAGTCCTCTAGTCCTGAGCCTTCAAACAGACTTGGCAGATGACCTTCCTGTGAAGTGCAATCATTTAAAAAAGCACGCAGTGAGTAACTCTTTGCAAGTCCTAGAGTATTCGCTTCTTCTTGGGGGCACCAAATGTTTGCCCTCATTCTTGGAGTGTCTACTGAAAGCAGATTTCTGGCCTTCCTATTTTTTTTTTTTTAATTTTTTTAATGTTTATTTATCTCTGAGACAGAGAGAGACAGAGCATGAGCGGGGGAGGGGCAGAGAGAGAGGGAGACACAGAATCCAAAGCAGGCTCCAGGCTCTGAGCTGTCAGCACAGAGCCCGACTCGGGGCTCAAACTCACAGACTGTGAGATCATGACCTGAGCTGAAGTCGGTCACTCAACCAACTGAGCCACCCAGGCGCCCCTGGTCTTCCTATTTTTGTTCTGCCCAATTTAAGCTTGTTGCCACCCTGCCGCATCCTAGCATGGGAGGGATCTTGTGCCCTTTCTTGTCCGTTAGCCACCTACTCTCAGGTTTCTCGAATTGGTATTTGCCGACTTGGCTGCCTTCTTCCTTTGATAACCAGAATATCTTAAGGGTAGAGGGCGGGTGTCTCTAGAAAAATTTCATTACTGCCTCCATCGAATGGCAAATTGGTACTGAGAAATAACGGCCAGTACGTAGCTCTTAACATATTAACACCAGAGCTCAAGGAAATGTAAAGTGTTTGCACCATTGTGTAGAAGGCAATTGGCCTGGAAGAAATGAGCCCACTTTCCTGGGTTATAAATGTGTGGTGTTTCTAAGTTTTCTTCACTCTTCGTTAAAATGCTATCGTAAACGTTAGAAGGGATTTGATCCATTTTTGCCTTCAGGATTTATAAAGCCTGACCAATAGCCCACCTTCTCTTGCCCCCAAACTCCAATCAGAAAACATCGGGCAGGGGCGCCTGGGTGGATACGTCAGTTAAGTGTCTGACTTCGATTCAGGTCATGATCTCGTGGGTTTCTGGCTTCGAGCCCCATGTCGGGCTCTGTGTTGACAGCTCAGAGCCTGGAGCCCGCTTTGCATTCTGTGTCCCTCTCTCTGTGTCTCTCCTCGGCTCATGCTGTCTTGTCTGTCACTCAAATTAAATAAACATTTCAAAAGAAAAAAGAAAGAAAATATTGGGCAAATATTCACATGCCCAGTAATAATTGATGGAGATTAAGACCCCTTCCTGCAAACGATGGGGAACCTGTCCTTGTTTCTCTCCCATCAGCCTCCATGGGGCCCCCCCTCCTGAACCTCCTCTTTGTCCCAACGCAGGGCTCACCTGCATTCACATGGTGTCTGGCCCTGGGTCTGCCCTCTGTGGCAGTGACCTGTGATCCAGGATCGAGCCAGACTAGGTTTCCATAAGTGTGCACGTGACTGTAACAGTGGGGCCATTAGAGGTGATGCTTTGTCAGATGCCACGTTGATTCTTCACACCTGTCCCTGAGGCTCACCTGAAGGGGGCCTCGTTTGTCCCCTCAAGTGATCAGGCTAAGACTGGCTCTACAGGAAGGTGTTCGCGATGATAATGGATCATTGATGAGAACTTATTATTTATACTTTAAAAGCATATTCTTGAAGAGATGGTTGTAATCCCATGGAGTATGTTTCTATGAAGGAGAGAATGGCCAACCTGGACGGAAAAAGATCCTAGCAGCAGGGTAGTTCAAGAACCTTACACATTGGAGGTTTTCTGCCTCTGTTGCATTTCAAGGCTGAAGAAATACAGGCAATACATTCAGCTACCTCCAAGCAAACCTAAGAGCTTCCTGGACACATCACAATTGCACACAGATTTTCTTTCTGGACACTTAAAGCTTTCAAACAAAGTCAAGAACCATTTCTGATTTGGATAATGTATGCTAAGTATTTGTTCATTCATTCACTTAATTGCTTATTAATCTTCCGCACCCGGTTTTGCCTCGTAATGGTTGCCGTTTAACCTCACTTTGCCTCAGTTTGGGTGAGGTGAGGATATTAAATCCTACCTGCATCATCAGTTGTTGGGAGATGGGAAGGGTGTAAATCACTTGCAGCGATAACTGACCCGCAGTGAATGTGAGCGTTTAGCAGTGTTAATCTACATGGCAAACTAGGCCATGGCAAGGGGAACAGGGTGGGGAGCAAAACACAGACACCATTTCTGCCCTTAGTGTGCCTTCCAGGGTTGGATAGGTAATAAACAAGGAAAGCCATAAACACATAAAAAAAAAAAAATACACGCAAATGTAGGAAGGTAGGGTCTCATGATAGAAAGATTGGGGCACCCGTGTTCGGGTGTCCGTGGTATTTTACGTCAGTCCAGGAGTGTAATGGTATGTGCATATTATGAGACACAGGACCTTTAACTCAATACTCACCTTCCCAGAGGAGCCTCCCTCACGTCCCTGGGCCAGGATAGTCTAATCTCTTCTTCCCTCTACTTAACGTGTTCACATTGCGTTGTGACTTCTGGATGCCAGCTAAGAGCAGGGCTTCTCTACCTTAGAGGGCCTGACCTGCCTGAGGATATCTCTGCGTCCTCAGCCCCTGATGCCTAGTCAGTATTATGGAATGAATTAATTAGAATGTTCTAATCTTCGGGGCGCCTGGGTGGCTCAGTCAGTTAAGCGTCCCGCTCTTGATTTCGGCTCCGGTCAAGATCTCACGGTTTGGGAAGTCAAGCCTTGCATGGGGTTCTGCGCTGACAGTGCAGAGACTGCTTGGGGTTCTCTCTCTGCCTCTCCCTATACTGGCTGGCTCTCTCTCTCTCTCTCAAAATAAATAAATAAACATTAAAGCAAAGAAAGAGAGAGAATGTTCTACTCTTCGTTTTTCTAAGGCAAAGCTCATGGAGCTTTGTTATTAAACTAGAGGCGGCCATAGACATTTCCTCCCACCCATTCAAGCTATTGGACTTTCCAAGAGAATGTCTGTGTAACGGAAGTTCTCAACATACCGAGAAGAATTAGTGTAACTGTCACTGTGTCCCATCCAGGTGTTCCACCAGGTGTGGTAAATATTGTGTTTGGAACGGGGCCCAAGGTAGGCGAGGCCCTGGTGTCCCATCCAGAGGTACCCCTGATTTCCTTCACGGGGAGCCAGCCCACCGCCGAGCGGATCGCTCAGCTGAGTGCTCCCCATTGCAAGAAGCTGTCCCTGGAGCTGGGGGGCAAGAACCCTGCCATCATCTTTGAGGATGCCAACCTGGAGGAGTGCATTCCCACGACCGTCAGGTCCAGCTTTGCCAACCAGGTATGTCCTCTGGGTTGCTCTGTTTGTTTTTATTTTGTTTCGTTTCATTTTTGGTTTGTTTATTTTTAAACTCTGTGACCCTGTCAGACTGGATCTCTTTCATCACAGTACAAAGCCAAGAGTGAGCCGGTCAATCTGGTGCTATTTCAGTGAGAAGAGGTTGTTACATTGTGTTATTCCGCTGACTGTCTGTGTTATCTCAATGTCCATCTGTGGTCTTGTAGAGTCACAGCTTCTGTTTAGCAAGTTCCTCTTTCTGAGTCACAGCTTTTTGTCAGGTACTGGCCATGGGCAAAATGATTGATTTTTTGTTACTCCAAGCTTTTCTCTCCCTTAATTCATAGAGTCACTCTCATTCTCTTCTCGCTGTCTCAATGTCCTATCTCCAGTGAACCTTTGCTCCCCCAAAGCATCCTAAATGCACCACACACTTAGAAATAAATGCCTAAACCAGCCTAGAGCACCTTTCTTATGTTGGAGTCATGGGTGTCATGGAGTCATGGCAACTTTTCATCTCCTGAAATTGTGTAAACAGTTGTTTTTCTGGAGGCGACAGTTTTTAGCAAATTCTTCAATGGCATCCCAAAGGGTTAGGAAAACCAGCCCAGATAGACCAGACTGGAAGCATCACAAAGAGGACACCTGTACCTGCTTTGGGGGCACACTTGACCTTCAACAGGTATACGAAAATACTGAATGATTTTCTCCAAAGGGTCTGTTTTTATTTTATTTTTATTTTTATTATTTTTTTTTAATGTTTATTTATTTTTGAGAGAGACAGAGACAGAATGCGAGTGGGTTAGGGGCAGAGAGAGAGGGAGACACAGAAGCAGAAGCAGGCTCCAGGCTCTGAGGTGTCAGCACAGAGCCCGACGCGGGGCTCGAACTCACGAGCTGTGAGATCACGACCTGAGCCGAAGTCGGACGCTCAACCAACTGAGCCACCCAGGCGCCCCTCTCCAAAGGGTCTGTTTAAAAAAAAAAAAAAATTAGCAGAGGGCAAAGAATTAATGAAAGAGAACTGTCATAGAAGGATGAGTAGAATGAGATAGATCTTTATTTAACTTGAATAAACTGCAAAGCCTTTTGAACCTTTGTTTCTTTACTTGTAAAATCACAGAAGCAAGAATGATGCCTTCCAGTAGGGTTTTCATGAGTGTCGAATGAAAAACATTCTTGACGGTGGTTTTTCAGGATCATTACAATTGTAATGATTTCTCTCGCAGTAATTCTTAGAGAAAGTGGTTTGATTACGTATCTCTGTCCGCACCTCTATATACAGATATATCCGTGTGTATAGAGTGTTTCTGAATCAATAGACTTCAATTTCAGATTTGAGAAAATAGACTTGCAATTTTATGATACAGCTATTTTAATCATTAAAATAAACAAGGATCGAAACGAACAATGAAATCGAGCATTTGGGTGGCTTAGTGACAACAGTGCGGTGGGGGGACAAACCGTGGCCTGAGACATAGTTGAGGGGGTGTTCAGTGGCCTCTGCATGGTGGCAAATGCACTCCGAGTGCACAGAAGGACTGTGCAAGAACTTGAAATGCTCAGACAGCCTTCCTCTTGGGGGGAGGGGGGGGCGTGTATTTTAAATGCCGGTGGGAAAGGACATGAGCCCAACTGGCTAATTCGAGACAACAAATAGACTTTAGGCAAAATAGAGGGGCTGATTTCTTTTTCCTTGGCCGAGAGATGAGTCCCACATAGTGAGCACTTCCTCCTCAACTGGACACAACGGGCTCCTTCGAAACATCTCCACCGTGTGTACTCTCCTTTGGAGTGGGGCACACTCATACTTAAGACACGCCGTGGGACTCGGAAGAAACGAACTGGGACTTCAACATCACTCAGACTGAAGTTGAAACTTCCTGTGCCTGGGGGCCTTGGGCCTGTGTTTGCTCAAACTTCACTTCCTAATTCTGAACTGGAAAAGCTGGTACACCACAGGAGTATTATGAGGAAAGCATCCCGCGCTGTGCCTGGTGCACAATGGGCACTCAATCAATAAGATTTCCCTTCTCTTATTTCCTCTCAAGTCATGCCACTAGGGACGCTAGTCTCACCTATGCTTTCCCGGCACTAAGTAGTCAGGAAAACCCTGACTGGTTAACCCCTCGGATCTCTTTACCACTCTCTCCCCTGTCTCCCGCACGTGGCGGAGGGCACTCGTGTTGGGAGATTTCCCAAGCCAGGTAGGCAGATGGTTCTAACTGTGATCCTGGCTGGCAGAGAGAATTTATTGCTCCCAAACAGTGAGTGTTTAATGTGGACAGTGCATCTTTGCACAACTAGCAAGATAATTAGAAACGTTCTATTGTTAGGATGGTTGTGAAGGTCAAGCAAATATAAATGTGACAAAAATAGTTGTTCATGCGTATGTGTACTTGTCAAACCTATATAATGCTTTGATGTGTCTAGAATGGTGTTTGTGAACGATTGCATGGTGTAGCCAAATGAGAGTAAGGATGACTTTTCATTCAGGCACCTGTTAGCACCTCAGCCCAGGACACTCAGTGCCTCTGCTTGGGTGACGATTAGGCGTCTGAGCCTTACCTGTGCGAAGCAGAACTTCCGGTTTCCCTCCCTCTCCTTTCCCTGCAGTGCTGATCTTCTCCCTGCCGTGGGCTCGCCTTCCCAGGGAAGAGCACTATCATCTGCTCTGCGGCTCCATCAAAAACCTGGGAGCCATCCTGATTCTTACCCTTTCTTTTCCTTCTGTCTCAATAACCCATCAACCAGTCTTGTCGGTTCAGTTTTTTTTTTTTTTTTAATGTTTTTGTTTGGTTTTGGTTTTGGTTTTTGAGGGAGAGACAGAGCATAAATGAGGGAGAGGCAGAGACGGAGGGAGGGAGACAGAGGGAGGCAGAGACACAGAATAAAAGCAGGCTCCAGGCTCTGAGCTGTCAGCACAGCTGTCCAGGCTCTGAGCTCCAGGCATGGGGCTCAAACTCGTGAACCGAGAGATCATGACCTGAGCTGAGGCTGGACACTTAACCGACTGAGCCACCCAGGCGCCCCGCAATTATTAGGATACATCCTGAAACCCGTCTGTTCTGCGGAGCATCTATACCAGTTTCCTTGCACTTTTGGGGTCCCATGTCCCTTTTCGAGTCTGGGAACATCAGCGGACCCCTACCACTTCTCTCATGTCCACTGGGCCTGCCCTGGTCCGAGCTACGTCCACTTATCTGGACTTCTGGAATACTCTCTTAATTCTACTCTGATCCTGCTCGCATTCCCTTCCGTTCTATTCTCCACACAGCTGCTGGGAGGATCCTTTCACAACGTGAACCCCATCACATCATCCTGCTGCTTAAAGCTTAAAGGCTTCCACGGTCTTTTCATGATGCCAGGAGCAAGGTGCAAGCTCCTTGTGAGCCTGTGAGACTGCATGATACTGCCTTGCTCCTCACCTCCTGCCCTCATTTCCTACCCTCCCCGACCCCATTCCTGCCTACACTCCCGCTCAGCCCTGCTCACGCTGTCTTGCCTTGCCTCGCACGCCGCTGTGGTCCTCATGGTGGGACTTTGTCTGGTTTGTCACCGTCTCCCACTGCCTAGACCAGTGCCTGGCCACTGCCAGGTGCTCACAATTGCCGCGTTGACCTATCCACGAGGGAGGGTGTCTTGTCATTGTCCTCACATGTCATTCTCGGCAGGGTGAAATCTGCCTCTGTACCAGCAGAATCTTTGTCCAGAAGAGCATCTATAGTGAATTTTTGAAGAAGTTTGTAGCAGCTACCAGAATGTGGAAAGTTGGCATTCCCTCCGATCCATCGGCCAGCATGGGAGCTCTGATAAGTAAAGCTCATTTGGAAAAAGTAAGTACATCTGTGCAATGTGAGTTTGGGCATAAGCTCAGTGTAGGACACAGCACACATCCATGGTTTGAAATGTTATTAATTACTGCCTTATTCCTAAAGCATTCGGACCTGTATAGGAAATGGTCTCTGAAATACTAGATATGAATACACAAATGTAGTCCAAGTTAAAGCAGCATCTACACAGAATGAATGAATCTAGGAGGTCAGCACGGGGATAGAATCAAGAGCGAGGAAGTCAAATTTCAAAACATAAAGGTCACTAATAAGAATGATGCGGGGGCGCCTGGGTGGCGCAGTCGGTTAAGCGTCCGACTTCAGCCAGGTCACGATCTCGCCGTCCGTGAGTTCGAGCCCCGCGTCAGGCTCTGGGCTGATGGCTCAGAGCCTGGAGCCTGTTTCCGATTCTGTGTCTCCCTCTCTCTCTGCCCCTCCCCCGTTCATGCTCTGTCTCTCTCTGTCCCAAAAAAATAAATAAACGTTAAAAAAAAAAAAAATTAAAAAAAAAAAAAAAAAAGAATGATGCGGAGTAAGGGAGGCAGGAGTTTCCATAGATAAAAGTTCCCAGTGGAAAGGACTCTGCCTCTGGCTTACAGCAGATGGAATTCTGGAAGGGCCAGCATGCATGATCCTAATTAGGTGGTTCATAATTGGTAAGGTGAGTGGTGGTCCATGTGGGAGAAGCCATCGATGGTCTTTGGGTGGTTGGTGGCATTTAGGTCTTTAAGGTCATTTTAACTTATTACCTGATGTGACTCCCAAAAGAAGTCATAGAATTTGGGGGCTAGGGGACCTTGTTTTCAGCTGTGGTGACTGAGGGCCACCAAGGAAGATACGCTCCCGTCAGTTAGCCTCTGAGGGACAGGGCCTTTACCTAAGTTTCTGGAAATCTTTGACATTGCACAGATGTGGCAGATTAACTGCATTTTAACTTTGACTTTTACAATATTGTGAAGCAGAGATGCACATAATGGAGGGTGTAGTAGCTTGAGGGTCTCTTCTTATTTCTTCTATTTTCTCCAGTGAAGCAGGAAGCAGGGTGAGGAGGGGAGAATGTGTGAAATGGTTCTGCGGGAGAGATCCCCATGGCTTCTAGCGTAGCCACAGAAGCTGTGGACAAAGGGCAAGAATCCTAACCTAAACCATGCGTGATCTTTAGTTTGTTTTCAAGACTTGAGCCACTGACAAGGTTTTAGGCCCAGTATGGCCGCCCAGAAATGCCATCTTCTGTGAAACCAAATTATGCTGGCAAGACGGGTATTTATTTAACGTGGCAGTTGGATTTTGTTTTCTTACTATCATTTCAAGGTAGTTACTGAGGTTCCATGAATAACCCTGAAAATGGTGATGGGTACAGTTACCAGTTTTTTCCTGACCGCATTCAAACATAAGCACGTATTTATCTTTCAAACAGAAGTTTTCGAACACTCCCGAATATTTTTACCATCATGAATGTTTTCTATCTCCGTCAAATAACTAAGAAAAAAATAAACTTTCTATTTTGGAATAACTTAAGATTTATAGAAAAATCTCAAAGAGAAGGCAGATGGTTTCTATATCCACTCACACAGCTTTCCCTTTGTTACCGTCTTACATGTCCACGGTGCAACTGTCCACACCAAGAAACTGACGTTAGCACATTACTGATAGCCAAACTGCAGACTTTTCAGCCAACGTCTCTTAATTTTCTCCTCGATCCTTAGAGAAAATAATTTCTCAGCTACTTTCCTTATTAAAATAAAATAAAATTAATTATTTTGCACTCATTTTAGAAAGTTCCATGACCCTACTGCTTTTAAGGAGAAAGATTTTGTATACACAGTTAAAAAGTTTTTAAAAAGGGGTCCCTGGGTGTCTCAGTTAAAGCGCCCAACTTCGGCTCAGGTCATGATCTCGCAGTCTGTGAGTTTGAGCCCCATGTCGGACTGTGTTGACAGCCCAGAGCCTGGAGCTTGCTTCAGATTCTCTCTGCCCCTCCTGTGCTCTCTCTCTCTCTCTCTCTCTCTCAAAAATAAACATTTAAAAAATTAAAAAAAATAGTTTTTTATCGTTGGCCAATTTATTTTATTTTGATTTCTCTAGGGAAGCACACTAAAGATGTTATTCCCATTACCCCACCACGTATCGACCTGCTGCTGTCTATGGAGTCTCTCTTGTTTGTGGTCCCTCCTTCCTCGTGTAGAGCGCCCCTCAGGTGGACTTACGTTTCCTCCCCTTGTGAAGCCTTAGGGCAATCCTGCGGGGGCTCAGAGGGTTCCTGGATGTCTGCCATCGTCGCTGCTCCACGTGGAGCAAGTGTGCCCAGATGCAAGGAATCACAGCGTCCCTCTCTGACTCTCCCACCAGGTGGACCCCTGACGGGTGCTTTCAGATCACTTCTTGTGCGAAGGCCCTGGGTACCTCTGCCCTTGACGGGGAGCTCATGGGAGCAGCTAGGGAAGTGTAAATGTGGCCTTTCCGGTGGGACTCTTTTCAGTCCAGTATGCCAAACCCTCCGGGACGGAGGAGGCAGCGGACACATTCCACTGGTGGGCATCTTTCCTCGCCTGTCACTGGAAAGCTTGGGGGGCTGCGTGCTAAGGAAGGTCTGGCTGCCCTCTTTGTTTTCTTCTGCAGTTTGTCTATATCTTCTCCGAATCAAATTAGCCCTGCAGCGTCTGGGGTCTTTGTCCCCTGCAAATTAGCCCTGCAGCGTCTGTGCCCATCTTACTTCTATGTGGCTGTCGCGATAGGTGGCGATTCAGGGACAGAAGAATCCCATTAGAATATGTCGAGGTTGTCCTGTAATGGCAAAGGACTCAGAACCCACAGAGACACAGCATGCTCCTAAGAGGACCTGTGACTTTTCAGGTTCCCAGAGACCCAGGGGATGCATAGGTAGCTGCAGGAGACTCTGTCCTCCAGGAGTGAAGAAAAGGCTCTTCGCCTATTGCACGGCGTTGCTGTTTGTTTTCACTTTTGTTTTTCTTTTTACCCCCTTGAATTCTTTTCCACTTGACTGTCTGGAGAATCTGGCTATATGCCAGCCTCCCCAAAGATGCGGGCAATTGGAGACGGAATTGTTGAGTGTTGACAGTGAGGCTGGGGGAAGCGCAGGGGATCCTGGCTGGTGCATCCCCCGACAGGGCCAGGCTTCAGGCCTAACAAAGGTCCACTTTGGCAGTTTCCTGTCTTCTTTTGTCAGGTTAAAAAAACCCGACCTGCAGGGTGGGAGCATCTCTGAAGTCTCGTAGCCAGTAAGCATCAGATTGTGTGTTACACCATCTCCTTCTTCACCAACAGCACCGAGAGCAGCTGGCATCCATAAGACTTACTGCGTACCGGGCGTCACGCTAAATATTTCACATGCATGATTTTCTCGAATCCTAGGAATGGGTGGGAATGTTAATCTTATTTTTCAGAGGGAAACTGAGGCACAGAGCATTTGAAATCTCTCCGCGAGTAGGTGGAGGCCCTGGGATTTGAACACTTGGGCTCCCCAGCACACCCATCTGCCCTCTGTGCTCTGATTTACGTGCAAAGCTACGAAGTAGTAACTACTCTCTATTCTCAAAAAAGTTTCGTAATAATAGTCTATTACATTTTATGGCATATTACCAGTCACAATGTTGTTTTCTTTTTTCAGATTTTACTGAAAATCTCAGTTCCTGAGCTTCTAGTGTAGATAGTCTATCATCCAGTAATACTTTCCCCAGAAAAGAAATTCAGTTTAGTGTGAGTCATCTTATACATTAAATATCTTGAAAAGTTCACAGTTTGAAAACCGACGCTTTCACGTTTTAGAGCCAAGAACCTCTAAGAGATAGATAATCATGAAATTCTGGGTAGAGGAGACAAACTAAAGCCAGAACGCTCTGAGTTTGAATCACTGAAGAAAGTTCTGGTCCTGTGACCAGCAGGGGCCCCTGGGGACCTTTGCCTCAACTTCTCCTGTTCACGCAGGATACGACCTTTGGCATGTTTTAATCTGGGGGGGTTGCTTCAAGAGGAATAAGAGAATATGGGAAGGAGAAAGGAGAAGTCCAGACCTCATTTAGTCTCCACCCACAAACTAGACTAGGGCTTTTCAGGAAGAACACTGAGATCCCTGCACGGGTTGGGGAGGAACGGTGTAGCAGCTTGGAATGCAGAGCTGTTCCAAATGTTCTATTTTTTGAAAGTGTTTGACTTCATGGCTTATTAAGTGTTCCATAAACTAGAGCAAAACGAACCATAAAATAACATTACCTTTTTATTTTTACAGAGTGAACACATAGCTCTATGTTGAAAACAGTTCTACGATGAAATATTAATCTGATACTGGGGCAGAATGCTCAGATAGATAGGTGATAAGTAAGAAGCCAAAGTATGATTTCAATGTACCCAGCCTTTGATGGACCGCCTCACTGCTGTTCTACGCTTTTAAGTTGGGGGATTACTTTTCTATGGCTTCTATGCTTATCATACCCTTCAGGGGCAGGATAATGTTGTGACCGCAACAACCCTTCCAGACATAACCATATGTATCATTTTATAACGAGTCATTTCTACAACCATTATTAGTAAACATCTGTCATTGTCCCCGAGTCACTGGGTTTACTTATTACATAATTTATTTCCCATTATAGTTAGCTATACTTTATTGCCTAGATATATTTTTAGAATATAATTGGTAATGAGACTAGAAGTTAGAAATTATTTGTTCTGGAAGCCTAGCTATCTTGGCCATTAATGAAATCTTATACACCCTTCAACTTCCCATATTCTGCAGTGGACACAGTCCCTCCCAAAAGTGAGCAACTATTCTTTTGTGTATTTAACTACCGATTATACCGGAGTGTGGATTCTGGCTTTCCTGTTTATTTGTTGTATGGACCATCTACCCTTTTTGACGCTCAATTTTGTCAGCAAAGAGGGGATAATAATACATAGCTAATAGAGTTTTGAGAGAATTAAGTGAGAATGTCTGAAAAGCGTTTATCCATGTGCCCAGCACGTAGACATTAAATAAATGACTCCTCTCCTCTAACGTATGAGGGCTGGATGCCCAAATGATGGTCAGAGCACTTCTGCCCTCAGGCTTAGCAGCTGAGCAATACGGTAGTCAACTTTGGAGTTCTTTTTTTAAAAATTTTTTTATACATTTATTTATTTTTGATAGAGACAGAGCACAAGTGGGGGAGGGGCAGAGAGAGAAGGAGACACAGAATTGAAGCAGGCTTCAGGCTCCTAGCTATCGGCACAGAGCTCGATGTGGGGCTCGAATTCACAAACCGTGAGATTGTGACCTGAGCCGAAGTCGGACGCTTAACCGACTGAGCCACCCAGGTGCCCCTCAGCTTTAGAGTTCTTAGCAATGACCTTACACGTTTTATGTAGATGATTCAAAAATATTGAATTTTCTGCTGCTTTGTGTAAAACCAAATGGTAAGGTGCTGCTAATCATGGTTTCTACCCACTTAGGTCAGAAGTTACGTCAAGAAAGCCCGCGCCGAAGGGGCCCGAATTCTGTGTGGTGAAGGGGTGGATACGTTGAGTCTCCCCCCCAAGAATCAAGCAGGATATTTTATGCTTCCCACAGTCATAACAGACATTAAGGATGAATCCTGCTGCATGAAGGAAGAGATATTTGGTCCAGTGACATGTGTCGTCCCCTTCGATAGTGAGGAGGAAGTGATTCAAAGAGCGAACAGTGTTAAATACGGGTTGGCAGCAACTGTGTGGTCAAGCAACGTGGGCCGTGTCCACCGAGTGGCTAAGAAGCTGCAGTCGGGCTTGGTCTGGACCAACTGCTGGCTCATCAGAGAGCTGAACCTCCCTTTTGGGGGGATGAAGAGTTCCGGGATAGGCAGAGAGGGAGCCAAAGACTCTTATGAATTTTTCACTGAAGTCAAAACAATCACCATTAAGCACTGACCTCGGCCAGCAGAGAAGCTGTTATGGTCAATGCTCGGCTGTAGAGAATCAGTCATCCAACGTGGTGAGCAGACTCACCAGCATAAATTCTAGCCACATCTTGACTTAGCGGGTTTTCTCTACCTTATCCTCGGTAGTTAGTATTTTTGTCTGCTGTCAAAGAGATGCTATTTTCACTGTGGAGTCAAAGAAGAGAAGACTTCTGAATAGGAAGGCACTAAAAGGGAGCCAAGGGATTGTCAGGTTTCCTCTATGTTGTGTCTTCACTTTTTTTTTTTCATTGTTTTGATTGAATTCTTGGTAATTTAAAGACAATCTTTTTTTTTTTTTTTGCTTCTTTTTTTTTAATTTGAGAGGGAGAGAGAGAGACAGAGAGAGAGAGAGAGAGAGGATGAGCACAAGTGGGGGAGAGGGCCAGAGGGAGAGAGAGAAAGAGAGAATCTTAAACTGGTTCCATGCTTAGCATGGAGCCTGATGCAGGGCTCAATCCCATGACCCTGGAATCATGACCTGAGCTGAAATCAAGAGTCAGATAGATGCTCAGGCAACTGAACCACCCAGGCACCAACATCAATATCGATGAAGCCAACGTTGATGATAAGCATAATATGGAATTTTTCAGAGCAGGCCTATATGGTAGGTCCCACTAAATACATCTATATAAGGACAAAGAAAAATAACATAATGACTACTTTTGGAGGGAATTTGGAACAAGAAGAGGAAATAGTTTGATCCATTTCTACTGTAGTGTCTAATCAATTACAGCTCTTCATGTATGCATCTCATTAGATTTACAACTTACTAATCCTAAAAGAATAAATGTTAAGCAATTTTAGTAGACAGTATGACATATACCTTTTTCTTGAATTGTCCTTTATTCTTCCTTATCCTCATCCTCTTAGGGGTATGGACTTTATACAAAGTAATAAAAGTATTTCTAGTGCCTTTTTTTCTGGATCCCCTAATGATCAGAGGGGAAAACCGAGCTTTACAGAGATTAAAGTAGCATGCTCAAGGTCATACACATGGTAAGGGGCAGAGGAAGGATTCGAACCCAGGGCTGTCAGTCTCCAAAGCCATGATCTTTGACCATCTCACACTTGTCTTGGGTTTTGCTTTGGAAACAGCCACATACTTATGGCTCATGGAAAACATCGCGTTGTGTCTCCTTTCCATGTCTCCCTCCCCCTGCCCCTCCCTGGCCCCACTAGGCCATGTGACCCAGGAACTCCTCCAGCACAGCCCTTCCTGCACTGACTGAAACCACTTGTTTGCATATCTGACCGCCCAGATAATTGCTGAAAGCCCAGGCAGGTGCCACTGCAGGTGCTACTCTCCACGGAAGTCTCGATCCCAACACAGTGCCTGGCACACAGAAGGTGCTCGAAACAGTTTCCAGGAATGCAGTGGAGGTCTTCCTGATACTCTGGGGTGTTTGTTTCATCGTGTATGGGGGTGGGGGTTGGGTCAGGGCCGGGGGACAGAATAGTCTTTACCGTTTTGTGTAGTTTTTTGGATATGTCAGCGTGTTCACAAATGCTGGAAAACATAAACGCCTTTGAGGTCAAGCGATGGTGTGGGATCATATCTGGTTCCCAGCTTCCACCTCCCCTCGCCTCCCCTTTTCTCACCTGCCCTGTTCTCCAGCTCAGGCCCCGGCGTCTTCATTAGTTAAGTCTAGGACCAATCCCATGAATCAACAGGAAGAATTTCAGCAGCTCCAGTCTCGAAGAACCCACAGTTTTGTTCTTATACCTGGTCTAGCCCAAGCTCATCCTTATTTCTGAGACCTAAGCCACATCTTGATTCCAAATCTTGTCAGGGCTCTGGGTCCTGTATTGTTCAGGGGACTGCCTCTTGCTGACAGACATTCTGGATGTCATTTCCCAGCTTCTGGGTCTCTTTGGATCTCTAGAAGCTGCTTCTGGGCTCATGAGGCAGTCTCATTAATGCATATTTGACCAGATGCTATTCTCTGTCACTCCAACACGGGCCCAGTTCTCCGTTGCGAACGCCAGTGGCTATGATGTCTTAGCACCCGATGGGCCTTTTTTCATTCGTTCTAGCCTACCATGGGTCAGTTTAGCTCCCAGACCTTCCCCTCCCAGACCATCCTATACTGTCTCATGCCCCACATTGGTTAAGGGCGCCCTTTGGGTCTGTGCTGGCACCACAACAGAATCCCACCAGAGGGATGACTCTGCAGCTGTGTGACTGCCGGCTCCCCTGTGTGCTGTGTTCAGAACTGATAATGAAAACACCGGAAGGGGAGGCAGAGGGGTTTCAATGATATCTGTTGAGTTTTATTTCTGAGCTGGGTGACGGGTGCTTGGGTATTTGCTACACTATTGCACACACAGGAAATACATACCGAAAAGGGAAAGTGGATCGTGGTGAAGGACAGAGTGGAGCACGCACGGAGGAAGCTGAGGGGACATAGGGCCACTCCTTCTGGCACGGCCCCAGAGGCTCCTGCTCGTGGAGGTGGCCTGGATGACAGCAGGACATGAGGGGGCAGGAGCAAGGACTTCGAGGAGCCGCACTTCTGAGTGTGCCTAGCTGTGCCTTTGAGTCACTGAAGTCTCTGGTTCACAGGCAGATTCAGATTCAGATGGTCCGGGGTGGGGCCCGATTGCACTTTGAGTGTCAAAGAATCAGAGGGCACTTCAGAAAAGCTCCCACTCTGAGCCTCCTCCCAGGTCTCCTTCCCAGGTCTCAGGAGCAGCTGCCTCCTGGATCTGGCCCCTCCCAGACACAAAGGAGGTGCTCAAACGCCAGTGTAGACCTTCCTGGAGAAGGCCTCCAGCATGCTTGTTGGCACCGAGCCTGAGACAACTCAGGACCTTCACACGCAGCCCAGAGGAGGTACAGGAAAGGCAACACCTAGAGAGAAACCCACCAAAGAATTTCACCACCCGGGTACCGTTCTCCTCCCTTTGATAGGAGGGCACACACTGAACTGACCTCACAGCCTGAAAAGAAGCCTGTCTCTGACCCGCTTACACAGAAATGTAGAGTTAGTTAATTAACACCAATTAGTTAACACCATTCAGTGACAGGTGTTAGGGGTAAATGTTCCGCCAAACCGTAAAAAATAACTTTGCCGACTACCTATAATAATCAACCAGCATGCTTTTTATTAAGAGCTATCACCAGTCAATCAAGGATCGTCAGATATCTGGTTAAAGAGAAATACTAAGGTGTGCGAAAGAACAATTAACCGTGGGAGAAACAGATACAAGAAAGAAGATGGGAAACACCGAATTCGTCTCAGAGAGATCTGAGGGCACAGCACATTTGTCCACAGCAGTGGGCTACTATGGACAAGGAGCGAGCGACGGACGTGAAGAGGCCTCGAAGAATTAAACGTTGGCGATAAAATGAAGTAAAACGAAAAATCAATAGAGTTGAATCATTGGTTTGGCTGAAAACTACGTACCGATCTGGAAGATAAAGTTGAGAAAATTGCTCAGAATACAGGGCATGACAGCAAGGGAAAAATAGAAGATGGAGCAGAGATCTAGAAAGCTGTCAATGTAATTAGTCCAAGATGAGAGAACAAAGGTGGAGAAGCAAATAAACAATTAAAAAATAACTTTCCGATGAAAAACACTCACCATGTGCCAAGGACTATTCTGTTGAAATTTAAAAATTCTTAGCATAAGGCTTGCAGAGAGACCTGCCAGGATACCTACAAACCTCCCCCCCCCAAAAAAAAAACAAACAACAACACAACAAACAAACAGGCACACACAAAAAAAACCCAAAAACAAAAATACAAGCATAGGATTGTCATCATGTGCTTTTCATTAATAATACTGACTTTGGGCATACCTGGGTGGCTCAGTGAGTTGAATGTCAGACTTCGGCTCAGGTCCTGATCTCATAGTTCGTGAGTTCAGGCACTGCAAGGGGCTCTCTGCTGTCAGCACCGACTTCAGCTCAGGTCATAATCTCGTAGTTGATGAGTTTGAGCCCCACATCAGACTCACTGCTGTCAGCACAGAGCCTGGTTCAGATCCTCTATTCCCACCCCGCCCCCCGTCTGCCCCTCTCCCACTTGTGCTCTCTCTCTCTCTCTCTCTCTCTCTCTCAAAAAAATAAAATACTGATTTTGGAAGACAGTAGAGCAAGATTTCAAAGTTCTGAGGAAACATTATTTTGAGCCTACATGTTATAGCCAGCTAACCCGTTACTCAAGAATCCAAGCAAAATAAGCTAATGACTCAGAGTGTTTCTCCTGTTTACTCTTCTGGGTGTGACCTGGGATGTAACTTAGGAGAAAGAAAAACAAATCCAACAAACAGAAGAACTGCTGAGGAACAAAATGAAAAGAAATGTCAAATTATCAGCAGTAAAACAGGCCTAGAAAGTAATTGGCCCAAATTAGAACAGAGTAGACCGGAGGTGGTAACTGACGAGCACTGATTACAAAACATGTGTAACAAGCTGGAAGATCTTAGATATGTAAAAATGTCCACGTATGTCTCTTCTCTCCATTAGAATAAAGGAAATAACAACTTTTCAGAAGTGATGACAAGACGAAGTGAACCGAAGTGTGACATGACCTGGAAAAATAGAAAGGGTGTAAAGAAAGGGAATCCATTTTTCCCTTATTTTTTGGATGGACATTTTTGTAAATATAAAATTGCATTTACATCTTCATGGGCCTTACATATTGCTGGGTTCTGCAATGAGTGTTTATATGATCTTAATGTTATGAATGTCTCTCGCTGGTTTTCAATTTTTAAAGTCAAGCTGTAGACAAAGTACAGAAAACTAACTTAAAATGACAGAACAGAGTACAAAGGTTCCAGCCTGGATCATATTAATCAGCTGACGAGTCGCACAGAGGAAAGGGTGTGGCCAAGGCTAGGCCGCGGGGATCTACTTTCTTCCTCTTACAGAACGGAGCGTGGGTTGAAGATGCCACAAGTTGATGAATCAAGAAGCAAACACTGAGGCAGCTTATTTAAAGGGACGCACGCAACCATTCAAGATCTCAAAATGTTAATGGGATCAATAAAAGTTGGAAGGTGCAATGCAGGTGAACTCAGAGTACAAAGCGTATTAAGTGCACACACCTTTCCTCGTGGGAAGATTATGTATTATTCGAAGTTGATAAGGCCAAAAACACAGGCACACACATACCGATTAGTTCTGTGGTATAGACAGACCTAAAACCAGAACTGTTTAAACATGGTTGCTTCTCAGTTGAACAAGGACAGGCGAGGGGTTGTTTAGCATAATGGAGAGAGTTTCATGTGAATCATTAGGTACCCTTTGAGTTTATGTTTTTTAACGTGCTATGAACAGTCTTATAAATAATAGCGTATATATTTCAAAGCTCTCCCAGTGATGCTTTTTTATGCATGTGGTAATTGGGAAGAATGAACTCTATGCTCCAGGGTATCTTAACCCTCCGGCCCTCTGACCTCTGGTTGCCATAAGAGAGCTGAGATCCCCGGGTATCTGGGAGACACAGCCTGATTGCAGAGCATCTGGGAAGCCTGCCCTGGATCAGGTGAGGGGAGGAAGACACCTTCTGGCCTCCTGTGCCCAGTCCCTAGCCTGGCCGGTCTGCTCAGCAGGGGGCTCCAGAGAGTCACCGCCCAGAAGAACCTCCTTCCCGTTGCACCTGTTCTTTCCCTTCTGCCTGCACTTGGAGGGTGAGAGGCAGTGCAGGATAACTCATCAGCCTCCGGCCATCCATGCTGGATTTCCCCTAAGCCTGAGCTGGGACTTTAAAAAGAAAACTCCACAGCCTATGGTCCTTCTTGGCTTTGGATTTGCTTCTCTGCTGGGAATTTCCCATGTCCTTTTTTTTGGAGGTTACTGAGGCTGCCTGTGACCTACATTGAAGGGGGACATCCCTAGGATATCCCAGGGACAAGACTGGGGCTTTTCAGATGAGGGTTTCAAACATAGCTTTAGGAAAACGTTTTGTTCGCGGGTGTCTAAAGCAAGCCTTCTGGAAGGTGTCCTCGTGGTCATTAGCCCACCAGATCCGAGCATTCACATCGTCCGTATCTGCTGCCACGTTAGTCAGCACCCCAATCACTGCTGACTCACCCCAGGGCCTGTGCAAAGCATCAGAGTCACTTCTCTGAGGCTTCTGCCAAAGAAATGATAAGCAGCCTTCTGGGAAGAGCCCAGTTTCCGATTGCGGCCGGCCACCCATCAAGCATCAGGAATTTGCCTGATCTTGCCTGTTAGCGGAGGATATGTCGCTGCCTCACTCCAGTTACACTTTCCCACGCTACACCTCATGGCATTCCTCATCCAATCTTACCTCAGGAGGAGTCATTCTACTCCAGCCTTGTCTTACAATTCCCATGCCAGTGTGACTCAGTTTCCAACGACGCGCTGAAAACTCCTCCTCGGAATCTTACGGACCCCGGGGGTCATTGAATCACAGTGAGGCAGAATTGCCAGGGATCTTGAGGTCACCCTGTGTCGCTCCCCAATTCCCGATGGACAGTTGAGGCACAAAGAGATTAACTGACTTGCCAAAAATCTTACAGCAAATAGTTCCTCCAAGTGGAACAGGAGGTACAGAAATATACAAGCATCAAAGAGATAGGGGTATTCTGAGGACAATGAAAGATAATTGCAAATTCTAGTAACTATTTTGGACTTCCTTCCCACAGATAGTAAGCAGCTGGCCTCTATATCCACCGAGGACAAGATAAAGGGGGAAAAAAGGTTCTTAATTACAGTTTGAGTTCATATGTAAAATTAGAAGTGCTTTATTTTGATGTTTTGAGCTCAGAAATAGTGAATGGTGGAGGAGGGTGGAAACCCCTTTTCCGGAGGGCTCCAAGCCCAGGTGGGGCCCCCCGTGAGGGGGTGTGAGGAATGAGGTAGGGGAACAGCCCCCGGTTCTGTGTCGCCTTCGTTGGGGGGCGTCGCTGCATCCCATGCCAATAGCCCAAGTGGGACTTCAGTGCCCGCATCAAATGTTGTCATTGAGCATATCATCAGGGTGTCCACGTGTCAGATCACGAGGTCGGCCGCGGGTAAATAAGCCTCAGGAGGGCACAAATTCCTAAATAGGAGAAATCAGACTTTCATGTAACCTCCTTGAGAAAGGAAAGCACGTGAGAAGCATCAAGATAGGTAAAACCTTGAAGATCAGCATTATTTATCCCTTTGGGGGGCTTTGGAACTATTTCTCTGATGTTTGAAGTGCACCCGCAATACGTGCTTCTTGAGTCCTTTTTGCCTGAATTTGAGGTATCTTCGGGGAAATGCACTCTCTCAGTTTGCAGTAATAACTCACCAGAAAGCAGTTCTGAGGGGTGATTTGTAACTCTCTGGGATCCTGAGGCCACCGGCTCGGACTTGGGCTGTTAGTGGTCCGCAGTCAGACTGAGCTCCATCCTCAGAATGGATATTGCCCTGTTCCCCGGGAAGCAACATAAAGCGCTTACTGAAGCATTTACCCTGAGCTGAGCTCGCTGAACCTGCTCCCCTCCCCTGCTCCCTCCTCTGATATCCTAAATGAAGGGAGAGAGTTCACATCTCCCGGACAGTATTTGCAGAAAATGTACTGCACCCTTTCCTCAGGATGTGTTTAGTGCGTTCTAACCTTTCTAAAGACTAACTCCCTGAACTTAAGGTTAGAAATAATTAGACAAGAAAATCCCTTCTCTTGGTTTCTTGTAACTATCCAAAATGATGAGTAGTGGAAAAATCACTGGAGGTCAGATCTCTCACTCTTCCTGAACCTTTGCACCGTATTGTTTATAGAAAGAATGTGACATCCCTTGGCATGATAAGGTGAGTGTTGCTATTTCTGCCTTTTGGCTGTTCGTTATGCTTTGCTATCATAAGCAAAGGGGCAGATAGATACCGAAACCTTAAAAAAAAAACCTAAAAAAAATGATTACTTGGGACTGTTTGGCATGTTGCTACAGAAAACACCTCTCTTTGTTTTGGCAAATCCATTTCGGAAAAGTGATTTAAATCTTGGCACAAATAGATAGCTTTTCACATCCTATTTTGATTGCCTTAGAGGTCAACCATACAGTAAGCAACATTTAATTTTTAAGCTCTGAAGGGTATTAGGTGTCCCAGTCTTCTTTTTCTTTTTTAGTGATTGACATACTTTGATGCATGTGTAAGCATCGTCTCTATGCTTCACATAAAGCGCTCTGAAAATAAGTTCCAACACCCTTCCGTTCTCCAGAGTTCCAGGTCCTTGAAGTTAGGGATTGGTTTTTCATATTAGTCATGCCAACATTTCTTTTATCCCTAGGGCAGATCAGTGCCTTAGACAGAGTGGAGACTGAATACAAGTTTGCTCTTCTGAGCTTAAAAAATATAAAAATCACTATACGATAATTTGAATAGTCTTGTGTCCTGGGGAAATGGCATGCTTATTTATGAGGACGCCCAAACCAAGTGGTATTAATTATGCTACTCTACTGATCTCTGAGTAGGCACATTCATCCCGTAATCAAGAATACAATGTATACCTGAATCTAATATTATACTGTATGTTAACTAACTGGAATTTAAAGAAGAACTTAAAAACTAAAACAAACAAAAAACCCCCCCAAAACCAAAAAACAGAACACAAAAGCCAGGTGTCCTGGCTCGTCAGACGTACAAAGTCTGAGGTCAGGTTCTTGTTTCTTGGCTGAGGGTTATAGCCCGAGTGGTGAGGGCTCAGGGCTCAGCCTACTACCCAGACAGATGCGACCTGGGCCAGTCCACTGTTCCAGTGTATTCAGAGCTCATTATATGTGACCCCCTTGAACATCACTCCCCAGAAAACTAGACCACACTGTGTGACTGGAAGGCCACGACTGGGTCACTCATAACCTTATAACTGCTAGAATATCTTCTAGAATTTTTGTCATGCTCTCCAA